CTTTCTGTCTCTATGTCTCTCTCTGTCTGTCTGGCGAGCGCACGCGCCCTATAGCGAAAACCTCTCCAAAAAACAAACAAACAAACAAAAAAACTCATGGAAATAAGTGTAATGGGAAAACTATGAATTTCAAAAAGTTTTTGTACCAAGATAAATACATAAATTGTAAAAAAATAAATACACACACACACACACACACATTTATATATATATATATATATATATATACAAACAAACAAACTAGTGGAGCCAACAGATGGTATAGTGGTTACACTGCTGGACTCCCACATGGCCGAATGCAGTTTGAATCCTGGATGTAGTGACTTGAAAATTAAGCTGGAGGACCAGCAGTTAGCGGAATGGCTATGTCACTGGATGCCCACATAGTCAACCGCGGTTCAAGTCCCGGACCCGGTGGCTTAAACTCACGCCGGGCTCGTGTGCATGCGTGCCCAAGATCCCGAGAGGAGAATGGAGGAGAAGGGATTGCGGTGTGGCCATCCTCCCTGGGGGGTGATTTCTCACTTTCTGTCTCTATGTCTCTCTCTGTCTGTCTGGCGAGCGCATGTGCCCTATAGCAAAAACCTCTCCGGAAAAAAAAGAAAAAAAAAAGAAAATCATGCTGGGCGCATGTGCGTGTATGTCCAAAATCCTGGGTGGAGAATGGAGATGAAGAGATTACAGCAAGGTCATTCCCCCCAAAGAGAGTGATTTCTCACTTGCCCTCTCTTCCCCTCTTTCTGGCAAGTGCACACAGCCAATAGCAAAACCCTAAGAAAAGAAAAGCAGAAAAGTCTTAGTGAAGTCATGCTAAAGATGTAAGTCTATACCAATTCAACAACATGAATTTTCACTATTTTGAAGTTTTATTTTCACTTCCTCTAGTTTTAGCAAATGCCTGTAATGTCAGCAAAATGAAAATAATTATGACAAGCCAAAAAAGTGGAAGAAAAAAGAGCTCAAAGTTTGAGACAGAAAAATAAAACCCTACAAATTATTTTAATGGGTATAGTGAAAGTAAACCAAAGGGTTATTATAGATCACTAATTAGATAAACACCCAATGTTTTTATTGCAGCTACTATATTTTTTAAATTTTTATTTATTTATTTATTTATTTATTTTTCTTTTAGAGAGAGAGATTTTTGCTATAGGGCATGTATGCCCACCAGAGAGACAAAAAGTGAGAAATCACCCCCTAGGGAGGATGGCCACACTGCAATCCCTTTTCTTCCATTTTCCTCTCGGGATTTTGGGTACACACGTACACACGCACGGCATGAGTTTTAAGCCACCAGGTTCAGGACTCGAACCACAGTAGACTATGTGGGAGTCCAGCGACATAACCATTACACCATCTGCTGGTCCCTGTTGGAGTTATTTTAATATCTAGCTTTTTAAAGAGATTTTTGCTATAGGGCATGTGCATTTGCCAGAGACACAGAGAGAGAGAGACAGAGAGAAAGTAAGAAACTACCCACAAGACTATCCTAATTTCTGATCACATCAAAACTTTCACGCTGGAAAAAAAAAAAAAAAAAAACAACTTTCAAGCTGGGAGGGACTTTTGAGATTATCTAGTAAATCTTTTAATTTTACAAATGGGAAAAGTGACTTCAATCTTTGAAATGTAAAGTGAATTGCCAGGCCATCAAGTGCTCATGTTTGCTCATTTCATGGACTAATCCTCTGCTGAGCTGGCTGGTGGTCTTCTAGTCTTTCATGACTGCGTTTGTGATGAGTTAACGTCAGCCCATGCTCTTTAAGATGTACTATAATTGTGAGAAAATTATTTTTGACGATCCAGAACCTGTTTCCTTGTAACTATTACCACTGTTTCAGTCTGCACTCTGGTTCTAATAGAGGAAACCTGACTCCTCTACCTCATCCCCCCAGTACAGCCTACATAGTTTATAATTGGCCTTGTGTTTTCCTCAGTTCTGGCTCTACCTCTAAAAATCCTACCAATTCTCCAGCCATCTCACAGGCCATCTGTGGAGTATGCACTCAGTCTGTAATGATTAGCTAACAGGGTTGCAGGCAGATCTGATATGTGTGTGTGCAGCTGTTGAAGAGTCTCTGTATCCCATACCAGATTATACCCCCCTTAAAGATTCCCTCCTGTGAACTCTTAGGACTTACTTCTACACTTAGCCTTGCATTGTGCAATCATTCTACCAGTGAACATTTTCTGAGCACCACCAGAATCTGTGCTAGGTACCTCCCCCTCAAAAAAAAAAAGGAAATAAAATGTACTCAGCTCATAGAAGAGTAAGACAGGTAAACAATAAACAACATGAACTGTGAGGTGCTGTACACTACAAGAAATTGGAAAAGGGATCAGTTGAGAAGGTGATATATTAGCTGAGGAGGGTGATATCACTCATGCCTTAAACAGCCACATGTTGCCCATCACCAAAGGGTAAGATGCTTTGCCCTCAGTTCAACAAATACGCAAATTTGGTAAAACAAAAAAAGCCCGATCAGCCCCTCTTGGCAGTGATAGGAGATAATAACTGAATCCACAGTATGGCAACAGTAGTCTCAGAGGCTGACACTCTACCTGGCTACGTACAGTATTGCTCAGGTGGTTGTCCTCAGACATCTGTGCATTCTGGAAGTAGGACAAGGGTGCAGGTAACTCTGTCATTGGAGCAACTGTACAGAAATACTTTCTCACAGAAAATTAAGCCTCTCAGGATTCTGAAAAGACAAAAAGGAAAAGAAATTTGTGCATTACGAGTATACTTTCATTTTTAAATGCCATCATAAATTACATTGAGCAGAAATAAACCCTTCTTTCATGTGTTCTCCAGGCCACACTGTCAGAGGACATCACAGACTACGATCATTGCGGGCTCTCAGATTAGGTCTGAAACAGGATTTTACCAGGTCACTCAAAGTTGATCAAATCCTAGTAAATCCATTTCACAACAATCAAATAACTTACAAGACCAATGTGTAAATCAGAAAGGTATTAATTTACCACGACCTTTGACTAACTGACAAAAGTATTGTTAGCTCGAGATGCCTCTGGCCACAAGTAAATCTACCTGAGACACCAAATATGTTCCAACACAAAGATACTTAAGGACTTTAGAGTAAAGGTAGCAGAATGATCTTCAGAAATGTTCTCAACATTTCCTTTATTATGCTAACCTGACCGAATCTAATTTTTATATCTGCGTAACATTATTTGTCTAACGCTTTTAATTTTTCAAAATTTTTGTATCATCTCATTTTACCTTCTTCAAAATGCCCAAGGCCAGGTGAACCAGTAACACATCTATTTTACAAAAGTGGGAGACCCAGAGACATTCGCCAATTAAGATCACACAATTAGGCAGACTGACAAGAATCCCAAACTCCTGACTCCCGGTCTCTGGTCTCCTTTCCATCCTGGCATGGCCTCTCTGTGAGAAACTGCCTCTCTCTTACAGAGATCCTCCTAAGGGACCACAATCTCATTTGCCTGGCGACCTCAATTTCTTATCAGCCAATTCTTTATGACTTCATCTTTTCCTTTTCATATAAAGTCTTCAGAAATATAGAAAGAAAAGTCTGTTTATATACCTAAGAAGCAACCTAACTAATATGCTCATACTCTAAATAGTACTGGGTACATATTTACATAAAAAGCATTTTGACAATGGCCTGTTTCATTTTAACTTCAGATCTTCTACCCTCTAAAGATTCTACTTTTTTCTTCTAAATAGTAGTCTTTCATCAAAAACATAAAACAACTTCTTCCTCTAGTAAAGGTATCAAGTTCAGCGACCAACAGTTGACATAATGGCTATGTCACAGGACTCCCACGTAGCCCACTGCGGTTTGAGTCCTGGACCCGATGGCTTACACTTATGCTGGTTGCATGTGCATGCATGCCCAAGATCCTGAGAGGAGAATGGAGGAGAAGGGATTGCGGTGTGGTCATGACCCCTGGTGGGTGATTTCTCGCTTTCTGTCTTTCTGGTGAGTGCATGTGCCCTATAGCAAAAACCTCTCAAAAAAAAAAAAAAAAAGTATCAAGTTCAAATTAACTATATTTGGATAGTGCAAGTGACAAATATTCAACCAATACAGACTTTCCATTCTACAAGCTTTTATATTCCAGATCCTTTTCTCACCTTTACTTGCCCATTGTCAACTGGCATGAACAGAGAATTGGAAGCTAAATATGACATAATTAATGTAGATTTGTTTGAAAAATGAGTTTAAAATACAGAGACAGGGACAAGCAGATGGCATAATGGTTACATCACTGGACTCCCATGTAGTCAACCACGGTTCAAGTCCCGGACCCAGCAGCTTAAAATTCACATCGCGCATGTGTGCGTGCATGCCCAAAATCCTGAGAGGAGAATGGAGTAGAAGGGATCGCGGCATGGTCATCTCCCCTGGGAGGTGATTTCTCGTTTTCTGTCTCTGGTGAGTGTATGTACCCTACAGCAAAAAATCGCTTTAAAACAAACAAACAAACAAACAAACAAAAACAGATTTAAGAGTTACTTTCATGAAGGGTTAGTCATTGAAAAGGAAATAAGGAGATTTTCTGAGGTATTGATAATGTTTCTTGATCTGGGTGCTAGTTAAAAAGGGGTTTCAGCTTGTGCAAATTAATTGAGCTCTATTACTATTACCTATGCATATTTCTTTTTTTTTTATTAATTCACTTTACACCTTCACAACACACAAATGAATTTTCCATCCAAAATACACTGTGCATTGGCTCAATCAAGCACATCCACATACATGTTCTCAGCAAATAATTTTCCAATTCTTACGTCCTGCATACCTTGCCCTTTGTCTTGCCATCCCTGATTCCCCATCCCCCACCCTCTGCTATGTCCCATCTTCCTCCCCCATTGTCCCTGACATGCGTGGTTGCCCTCCATACCTTCCCCCCCCATTCAATTGTTCTGCCAATGAACTTAATTAGTCTAAATAAATCCATTAGCTAGCACAGCTGACACAAACCTACACATGTATCCCAGTCTGACCCTAGGCATAAACCC